CAACTTCTAGCCAGTTTTGAATTTCCATTCAATGGGTTTCTTGTTTTGTTTTTTAAACTTCTCTATTCCCTGATTGATTTAGCCACAAATCCCTATGGGTAGAGGATAAATGGTCAAGTATAATTGATCTTCCTTCCTTCCTTCCTTCCTTCCAAGAAGTATCCTAATTCTTCACCTATTTTTTTTTAAAAGCTTTTTTGACCTTTTACCGAATTATAAAAGATCTTTGCCTGCCTCCAATAGGAGGATCTTATCAGAGCTATTGTTTGCATGTGTTTTCCTTCATTCTGTGAAATTTTTGCATTTCTTGAATGGATACACAGAAGCCCTAACCCTGTGTCTTATAACATGGATCAACTTTTCTCACAAGTCTAATAGATTTTAATGAGTATTAGGACTTTTTTTTTTTTTTTTTGGATAGGATCTTTCTTTGTGGCTCAGGTTGGCCTGCTTCAATCTTTTAAACAAGCAAGATATTTAAGATATTTGTCTGTGGTTTTGTTGGCTTGCTTGTGACATCTTTACCTGTTTGTGGTGTAAAGTTATTTTTTCCCCTTTTTGCCATCTTTCTGATAGAATCTCACTGTGTAACCTAAGCTGCTCTTGCTCTCACAGTCCTCTCCCCCAGGTCCCTTGGATGCTGGGATTTTAGGTGTGCCCCACCATACCCAGCTTGCCACATTCATTCTGGCATCAAAGTTTCTGCTTCTGCAGCTACCTTGGCTGGTTCACACCCCTCAGCCATTCCAAGTCCTGCCTGGTGTTAGGGGTCATCTCAGGCCTCTCATTCCTGGACTCTTTCTTGACCATTCAGATTCTGACCTGAGTTCACTGTGTCTGGAGAACCTTTAGATTATAACTGACACTTAGGAGTGCTGCAGTTGGCTATGTTAGCACAGGCATCAATGATCCAGGAAGAAATACCTGTAGCAGAGCAAGTGGAGAGGCAGAGTCTCCTTCAGCAGCAGGAAGCAGGCTGACAACTGAGCCCAGAGACCCAAGACCAGCAGGACACCATGGCCCTGTAATACTGCAGTCTCCTGAAAGGTGGGGTAGTGGGCATTTAAGAATTCACTGCCTACTGCTTGCAGTTGCTCCAGAATTTACCAGTGCTGTGACCGTGGGAATACCACTCAAGCCTTAGCTTTTTCACCTGTAAACTGCAGATGATAATAAGAATCTTAGGGAGTTGTGTGACATGAGTTCATCTGTGCAAAACACATGAATGCTATTGTTGAGTAGTCACTTTAATTAATGCCACTGGATATTCTCTATGAGAAAAGAGTCTGTGACCAAAGGAAATCCTGCTACATGGCATTCCCTTTTCTTAGAAACTCACTTGGTGCATAACACATTAAAAACCCTATAAAGTCCTAAGTAAAATTCTAAATATATGTGTATACCAAACACATTCATCAGGATGGTTCTTCCCCTCTTTTTACCTGTAACACTCATCCCTTCCACTTTTGGAGACAGGGTATTACTCTGTAGCCCTGGTTGGTCTGGTACTCACAAAGTAGCTTAGGCTAGCCTTGAATTCACAGCATTCCCGCTGCCTCAGCCTTTCAAATGCTGATGTGGAAGATTTATTTAACCGACTTTGGGAAATGTATTATCAGTTGTATTTAATTAACAAAGAAAATGCTATTAAATTGTTAAAAAAAAAAAAAATCACAGTTTCACTTTCCCAGAGGCATGTATAATGTAAAAACCCCAGCCAAGGAGCCATGAAACCCTGAGCTACAGAAACTGCAGAGTGTCCTGAAAGCCCCAAGGAACGGTCGACTTCAGGTGGAGGTGAAGATCAATGAGCTAGTCTTAGCCACTGAGACATTTCTAGAAGTACAGATTCTTGGGAGTCTCATTTGTTAAAAATTTGACAATTTTAGTGACTAAATTCCACCCTCCTGGGCAATGCCTGGGGACACAGATTCAGCCTTCCAGGATTTTAGGGTAAGGCTAGTATTAAGGAAACTCCCTCAACACTGGACTGATTTCACTGGACTGAACTTAGCCCCTTTAAACCTATAACCAGATCATGTCCACTGAAGTGTGTCTGTGAGGACTTTCTATTAACTATTTCTGAAGTTTTTTTTTTTTTTTTTTTTTTTTTTCTTTTCTATCCTATTCTTTTCCCAAGGCATAGCCTTGGCTGTCCTGGACTGGCTGTGTAGGAATAGGCTGGCCTTGAACACACAGAGATTCACCTGCCTCTGTCTCCTGAGTGGTGGGATTAAAGGTGTTCACTACCACGCCCAGCTTCATTTCTAACTCTTCTTTCTCTTGTCTTTCATTTCTTTGTTTTATTTTTTTGTTTTTGTTTTTTGAGATAGGGTTTTTCTATGTAACAACCCTAGCTGTCCTGGAACTAGCTCTGTAGCCCAGGCTGGCCCCAAACTCACAGAGATCCACCTGCCTCTGCCTCCTGAGTGCTGGAATTAAAGGTGTGCACCACCACCACCCAGTTCATTTCTAAATCTTTATGAAGGGTGCAGCAGTAAACTGAAAACAATTTTAGGAAGCCATCTTTTTCAATTTTTTCCCCATTTGTAAATAGGGCAAAGGAGCAGAACTTGAACTACACTGCAAGGCTTTCATGTAATATATCCAGGAAGAAAAGGGAAATTTTTTGTTGTTTTGAGACAGGTCTCACTGTGAGTGCTCTGTTTGCATGTACACCTTTATGCCAGAAGAGGGCATCCGGTCCCACTACAGATGGTTGTGAGCCATCATGTGGTTGCTGGGAATTGAACTCAGGACCTCTGGAGGAGCAGCCAGCGCTCTTAACTCCTGAGCCATCTACACAGCTCCCTTATATTACAATTTTAAAGACAGACACTAAAAATCCTTAGTCCAAACATACTTTTAGCTTCTTTAATTAAAAGGCAAGTATTTTTTATTTACATAAACAAACATGTAATTAAAATATGTCCCATACTGTTGGATGGTGGTGGCTCACTCTTTTAATCCCAGCATTGGGAGGCAGAGGCAGGCAGATCTCTGTGAGTTTGAAGCCAGCCTGGTCTACAGAGTGAATTCTAGGACAGCCAGGGCTACACAGAGAAACCTTGTCTTGAAAAACAAAACAAAACTAAACAAAAAAATATGATGATGGGGGATGTCATTCTGTATATATGTTTATCTTATTGGTTGTTGAATAAAACACTGTGGCCAATAGAGGCAGGGAGAAAGGAGGAACTAGGAGACAAGGAGAATTCTGGGAAAGGCATGTAGAGAAAGCCCTCCAGAAAGAGTCGACTGTAGACCACAAAGGAGTAGCAGGTCTGGACCCTTCTCCAGTAAGATAAGACCACGCGGAAATACACAGATTTATAGAAATGGGTTAATAATTAAGACAGAGCTAGCCAATAAGAAGCCCTAGTCATCGGCCAACAGTTTTATAATTAATGTAGCATCTGTGTGTTCATTTGGGGCTGAGAAGAGTGGCGGGACCTGGAGGGACAAAAAGAGAACCTCCAGCAACAAAAGAGTGGGGGGGCCTCTGAACAAAAGTCAAAAATAAGAACGGATGACATTACCTAAACAGTAATGGAGCTCATTTGCCTAATGTACAATTTCCCAAGATTTCTTAAAGCCTTCAGGGAAACCCTCAAGAGGTAAATGGAATACAGAGGTTAAATAATCAGAAGAGAACATGTGAGAGTCCAGAGCAATCCAACAGGACATAGGGGACCAGCAAAGCCACAACCTACTGCAAACATTATGTGTGTTTTCAGAGGACCCTCTGTCTGAATAGGGAGTCTGTGGACCTCAGTGAGTCTTGGTCCCACTTCAGTAGTTTTGTGCTTCATTCTGCTGTGAGGTGAAAAAGATCCACATTCATGTCTCACATGAGAAACTGAAGTGAAATCAGGATTGACCCCCACCGGACAACAGTTAACTTTATGGCAGTGCCCACAGGACACTTACTGCTACTTACTGCTTTCTATCTATGCTTGCCTTCTAGCTAAGGCCTTCCCTTCCTCAGAGTTTTGTTACTCTCAAGAGCTACAATTAGAGTTGACCATTTTCTTATGTGGTTAAAAACAGTGCAAAACATAGGCTTGTCGAGGCAGAGTCAGTACTGGTTAGAACTGCCTTATCATCACACACTCGAGAGAGCATTTTCGTCTTTGGCACGTGTTAGGTAAGTTGGGTGCCAGCACTCAATAGGAGGCTGAAGAAAACCTGGTGTCTGAGTTCATGAGCCAGCCGGTCGTAAGAAACAAGCAAACCCACCATTTCCACAGAAAGTAGTGGGTCCTCTGTAGAGTCAGGCTAGAGATGGTAAAGAGAGCACAGCGAGGCTGAAGAAATCAGACTGCACGGTTGGGGTGGCTTCTCAAAGGGATGATTTCCAAGAGTAGTCCCAGAGTTTAGTCATCTCTAACTCCCGCCTCTAACTCCCAGCACTCAGGTGACAAAGGCGCCACCCCCAACCCTCCATGCTCTGATTTTGAGGTCCTTGATCAGATTTAGTGCCTAGAAGGGGGAGGATGAAGTGGGGAGAAAGGGAGGGAGGAGGATGGGGGGGCTGAGAGAAAAGAGATTCAGGAGGGAGAAAGGGAGGAGAGGAAAAGTAAAGAGTTTTGTGAAGAATACATTCCCAAAGCAGCTAGTGGTTTCCTGGGGGTACATCCACCAAGGGTGGCCTCCCTGAGCCTGGGGACTCTATCCTTGCCTCATGTGTAAGGTCTTTGCCAAATAATGGTTCCTAGGCACTTGGTCTTTAGGCTGAGGGCCTTTGTCGAGCCAAGTCAGTGAAGTGCTGCCTTCCACCACCCATGAGGGCAGAGATGAGGGCAGACGGGTGCAGGCTCAATTCCTGTCACGGTGACTTCTCCGCCCAGCACACCAGGTGCCACCCTCATGCCCAGGTGGGACACCTTTATGATGCTGCCCCTGCTCTCCAAATCCCAAACCCACACCGACCCTCCAGGGAGCTCTTTCCTCACCCCGGGACTCTGCCAGAGACAAACAAGGAAAGGGCAAGTTATTACCTCAGACTGTTCTCCAGGGTCTCCTCATCCGAAGACAAGGTCCCATCACTAGCACTCCAGGGAGCGTGACTCTGCCTCTGCCTCCCAGCTGACTCCTCAGACAGCAGGGTGTTCTTCTTTTTCTTTTTGCCAAACAACTTCTTAAAAGGCTGGAATTTGCCTCCCTTCTTCTTGTCTGTGAATTACAAGATAAACACACAGCTGCAGTTTGATAGGGCTGTGCCTCTGAACCGAGGAACAAATTACCACTCAGCCACCTCTGGCCAAGAGAGCCAGGGCAAAGGGCAGTCATAGACAAAGCCTGTTGCTGAGAACATCAGGGCCGCCCAGGCGCCAAGCTGCACAGTGAGGCAGGGCATAAGCCGCAGGCATGATGTACCTTTTGACCCTCAGATCAAGAAGAGGCTCCGTGCTACAAGGCCATTGGGGCATCCCATGCATATGCCACCTGAGGGTGGTGCCTCCTTTCTTTAACAAAGCTGATGGTCGGGGTCATTCCCCCGGGAGAAGATGAGAAGAACATCCAAACCATACAGGGATTTTAAAAGCATATAAAGCCTCAATCATTGTTTTAGCCTTGTCACAAACAGAGGATAATGGTTAACTCTGGGCACAAACTTTGCCCCAATGCCACCCATGATCATATAGTCCCAGTTTAATCCCTCATGCCTCCTTTAAAATTCTATGACGAGACTACAAGCAGTGCTATAAACCTCGCCCCACATATACTACATCTGCTAGGGACTGAGGCTTGCTGCCAAACTTTGCTGAAGATATTTTCCGCAGTACCTTCCACTCTGTTCCTTTGGACACAAGCTCCTTCGCCTCACTCCAGTTCTGCCACGGAACAGAAAAGCCCCGCGTATTTAATCTTTCCTTCAGAACCTTAGAGTCATTCACGGGGTAGTCTGGTGAACCCACCCCTCCCACCCCCACCCCACCCCACCTTCTCAGTCACTGCTTTGAGGACCTGCTAGAAAGGTCCGTCTCCACAATGGCTCTGTGACATTACTGGACATTATTAGTGTCCCTGTCTGTATATGGGCGAACAGAAAAGCAGATATGAGCTAACGTGCTTGTGATCCAGGGAATATGTGCTTGAAGTGAGAGTGGGGTGGGTGGTTCTTAGGAGAAGGGACCATAGGAGATCACGATGTGGACTGAAAATACCCACGGGAAACAGAGTGCCCGGCGCACTGTGGCCACAGCCCCCTACAGGGGGGTCTGGGTATGACAGGCAGGTCAGTGATGTAACCAGCCGGCCCTGCTTCAGTAAGCCTCAGCCTTACTGGGACATCATAAAAGCGGTGCAGCTGCTGAGTGTTCCTCGGAGTTCAAGATTAGCCTGGACTGTGTAGTGAGTTCCTAGATTGCCTGGGGGAAAAAATGAAACTGAAGTGATACGCCATGATTTGAAGCATTTCACTCCAAACTGTGGGGCCAAGGAAACCAACGGAAATGCTGTTAGAGGCACAAACAGCCCTCAACTTAGGTGGGACCTGAATGAGACCACACTTTAAAGGTCTCGGTCCATAGTATACAGTGTGCTAGGCATTTTGTCCTTAAAAAGGGGTATACATGCCGGGCAGTGGTGGCTCACGCCTTTAATCCCAGGACTTGGGAGGCAGAGGCCAGCAGATCTTTGTGAGTTCGAGGCCAGCCTGGTCTACCGAGCTAGTTCCAGGACAACTAGGGCTACACTGAGAAATCCTGTCTTGAAAAAAACAAAAGAAAAGAAAAGGCTATATGTGATTTGTAAGATGAAGGAAATGTACAACACAGATAAGATCATATTTTAAAATGGTAAAAACAGTAGGTGTGACTGCACATTCCTTTACTCTCTGCATTTTGGAAGCAGCTGGAGGAAGGTTTGTGTGAATTTGAAGCCAGACTGATGATGTACAGTGAGCTCCAGAGCAGCCAGGGATTCACAGTAAGACTCTGCCTCAAAACAAAACAAAACAAAAAAACCCACAAGATTAAGAAGAAGTTATGGGGATCTGACTTCAGGCTTTTATGTACGTTTTAGATGTATACAGGAGTGGATATGATAGTGATAATATTGACACCTACTTTAAAATCCCCACCCCTACCTCCTCCTACCCAGAATTTAAAGCTTCAGATAGAATAGAATCTGACGACGCTACTGGATGACAAGGCTAAGACAGGTAAGTGACAGCTGGTTTCTAGGTTGGGCAGCATAACAGTAAATGATCAATAACTTACAGTATATTCCATTTACCCTCAAGGCATAATTCTTCCCTTTTCCTTTTATAAAACTACCTGCGTCTTGCTAACACACACACACAATCTCTAAGCTCAGATTTTTCTGAGATATATTTCTTTTGTTTATATTTTACATTCCAATCACAGTTCTCCCTCCCGCCCCTCCTCCCAGGCCCCCTCACTTCCCCCCCTAGCCCACCCCCATTCCACTCCTCCTCATGGGTTAGGGCTCCCATGAGGAGTCAACATAGTCCTATCTGATAATTCTATCAGACATACTCTTAAGAGATAACATCTCAAATTAAAAGTGCCAGTTAGGACATCCTGTCCTCAGCGGTCTAGTTCTCCGAGTAGAGCAGAGAAGTGTAGATTATGCTTAGAATTTATAAATAAGAAACAACATGTCACAATGTAGTGTTAAGGTGGGATCTGGTAATGTTCAGGGGAGCTAAAACCAAGGGAGTTAGTTCATTACAATGAGAAGCTAGCCAAAACACAGTCTTTAGACACACGACTCAAATATGAAACCAACAGGTTAACTTAATCTGTGTGTCAGCCAGAGGTCCTCGACATCATCTTATTGTTCTGAAAGCCACCAGGGAAAGTATTTGCCGTGCTGGTCACACTGTTGAAGAAGTGATCAGAGCACAGAACACAAATGCAAAGCCTGGAGAGGACACTGGGACACAGGAATGGTGACCTGGAGCCCCGTGTGGGCTTCCTGTGGGAAGTTCCTGCAGGAGAGCCTGCTGAGGCAGAGCTGTGAGGCAGGTGCTATGTGGCCCTGTGCTCCACCTTAAAGGACAAACCACAATTTACCAAGAGTACACATGCAGATGTCATGGCGGAAGACCTGTCAAAGTCCAAGCATCAGTCAGAGCACTTCTTGAGGGCCCTGCAATGCTGTTTGCTGTTTTAGCAATGACTTGGGTAGTTGTCACGGAGGGAAAGGAATAGTAAAATGTAGCCCCATTCTCCACTGGGCTGATTGTTAGTCCTTCTGGGAAGGAGAAAGAAATCCTAATAACACCAACTTCTCTTTAGAGGATGAAGAACACGCAAGCTCCTGCCTGATCCTCGTCTAAGGACATCTCAGTTGGGAAAAGTAATGCCCTATCCTCATTTCCAAAATTTACGCTATGCTTCCTATCAGAAATCTCTTCATATATTAAGCTTGGGAGTTCATTTTATGGTTATTTCACTATTAAATTTGTTGATCTAAGATTAATTTTTGAAAAGATTCAGTAATAGTACTTAGGTCACACCTACATTTAGGCTGTAAAACAAAGTGACATTAATAGAGTATGAATTCTTTTTAAAATTATTTCTTTTACTTTTGAGATTAAAATATAATTTGCATCATGTTCCCTTATTCTTTCCTCCCTACAAGCCCTCCCATATATCCATCCCTCCCTGCTCTCTTTCAAATTCAGTCTCTTTTTCATTAATTCTTGTTAGATACATATAGGTATATACATATGTGAATACATAAGTATAACATGTTTAGTCTGTATAATAATGTTAATGGCATGTATATTTTCAGGGTGAACCATCTAGTATTGGATAACTCTTTCCTGGGGAAGACTATTTCTCCCACTCAGCTTTCTTTAGTTGCCTATAGTTTTCTGTGTAGAGTCAAGGCCTTGTGCTTTCTCTAACTACATCACCATGCCTATTGTTGTCTACTGTAAATGTCTATTGCTGTTTTCCTTGTTCAGCTAATGTTTAGGCAGTTATGATGGTGACACTTTATGAAATCTGGACATATGTCTATAAACATCCACTAAATAAACCTAGTACTTCAGAGGAACATTAGAAGCTGACTCCATAGTCTCAACTGATTTCAGGGCACAGCCTCTGGCAGCCACTGTTTTCTTGGCAAACAGCAATTGCTATTGTTAATATTTTTCATGGTACAGATGGGACATGAAAGAACGGAGTAGTTAAACCGATGCAGCAGAACACAGCACATCCCTGCAAAGCTAACACGAAACATCCCTAGTACTCACTCTGCCACCAGAGCAGAGCTCAGCAGCCATTCTCCAATGCCAGTGATTGAGATGACATCTGAGGATTTTACAACACAAACCTTACCATTCTTGGGTAGATGGACAACTGGGGCAAGGGGAAGGAGAACTGCAAATACTAGTAACTTTGTATTCACTGGATACAGACACAGCTAGGCATTAATGTGTGGCCCCAAAGACCAGAGTATTTGGCCCAATTCTCAGTCCCATATTTTACTAGCATCTACTTCGAGCCTCTCTGTATCTCACCATCTTTAGCTTTAAGGTTGAATTCATGGGCGAACAATGGGGTGCCACATTTTCTTAATATACCTGCAATTTTCTATAATTGTCTGCACGAAAGAACCTATAGATGCAGAATGCTGATTTAGGATCATAGTGGTTTTCTTTCGCCAGGTACTGAGTTAAATTAATTCATTTTCATTGTTCAATAATTACTTTAGGGTTTTTTCATTTAAAGAAGTACTCATTATTCATTATTTCATGGACATAATCATAAACCATCAGAGGCCTGCATCTCATAAGCACTAGTTTGCATAGACAATCCTAAGGAATAAAAATCACCAGGAAAGTCAAGCAAATAAGAATCTGTCTCATATGGATAAAATTCTTATATGTTCATTTCTAACCCTAAAATTATTTCAAGCATCTAACTCTTTTGCACTGAGTTCTAGGGTATGCCTCCAAATGAGAAATGGATGCCATAATTCAATTTAAGCATCGTCATAAATGTGTCAATCTCAGGTTCTCAGAAGTCGACACTGGGTTTGTAAGGACAGACATCTGAGAGTCCAGGTAAAAAGAGATGAAGCTCAAGTCTCTGTGAAGTGAATGTACAGAAGCCAATTGTGCTATCCCCATAATTCTCCCAGAGCTGAGACTATAGTGCTTACTAGGAAGCTTGTCTTGAAGTCTGGTTTGG